GGAGCACATGTTCCTGTCCAGCCTGGGGGCAGTATGAAATATGCCCGTTGTCCACATAGCCAGGCTATTCCTTGCACCCAGTACGTGTCGTTAGAAGGTCCAGTCGTGTACTTTACTTTAATACTTTAATCATCTCTCATAACCTGCAGTAATATTATCAGAGTTACTTCAACACAGTAAACCTGGATTTTCCTTCAGACTCAATTTACTGTTACCCTCAAGCTCACAGCTGGCTTGAGTCTCTTAAATCATATGTCAACTCCTCGGACCTCTGCATCCGGTATTACTCTTTTTCTCCCAAATAAGTGTATCTCAAAATGATCCTGTGATCATAGCTATCCCTGAGGCCACAAATCTCAGCAGCGCCACCTGAGTATGGTCCTTGGACCACCTAGTAAACGTCTTTACTAGGGAGGGAGCTCTTCAGCTCCGTGACTAACACTTATTGAACCATAAACTTACCGTTTTATATGTGGGCCCAGGACAGTAGTCAAGACCACCCGCGACGTCTGACCACCCTCTGGTACCCCCCACCCCCACCCCCCATGGCGTCAATTACAGATTAAAAATACATTGTTTACAGTCAATGGTACATCTTGTACATCTTTAATGACTATAATTGGACATAGAACTTCATTTTTACAACACCTTCTATACAAGGTAATAATCTTAAGCCTTCAAGGTCTCTGAGGGCTGGTCATTGACTTCAGTCATCTGTTACCAAGTAGAACAAAATGCAGTGAGACACCAAATGAGTTAAGGCCTCAGGCCTGACACATTCCTAGATTATATGTGTATTGTAAGCATGTATTGCAGTTATCCTTCTAGGCTCTAGTCCTTTTCACAATAGACTGTCTGGACTCGCGCCAGACAGAGCTTGAGACCCTCTGTAGACTAATGCAACAACTCTAAATGAGCACAAATGCAATGTGTATGAAATACTTCTGGCTGTACCTGTAATAAAAGTTAACATAATAAAAGGATCCTTAAATGAACATCCTCAATAAACAACTTTAATGCAATATCAATACTGTAAGAAATATTACTAAATGGAATAATGCTATAAAAAATGTTATTAATGCAATTATAATGATGCAAGTTATATGGCAGCAATAAAAGAAATTCTGTATCTCCACACAGCCCCATAGCCCTTCTCACTCGCATCTGCAAAGTGGTGCAACTGAGCAGTGGTCATCTGTCCAAAATCAGAAGGTTTTAAACATCGTCCAATGCTGATGTTGTTCAACAGATGCAATTCTTCTACTCAGCTTTTCCACTCTTGAGCAACTGCTGATGGTATAGCATCATCCCATCCTATCCCCTCTGGCACAGATCTTGAAGGATTCTCTTGTCTGTGAAGATAACAGGAGCAAGGAACCCCAGAGGGTCATAGAAGGAGCTTACTGTGGATAGGATCCCTCTCCGAGTCAATGGTCTGTTTGGGATGGATATGCAGAACTTAAATGCGTCTGACTGCAGGCACCACCTCACTCCCAATGCTTGCTCAACAGGTAAATGGTCACAATCCAGGTCTAGGTCCTTAACTTCATTTGCTCTTTCCTCCTCAGGTATAACTTCCAGAACGCTGCGGCTATTGCTGATCCACTTTGTTAAGTGGAAACCACCCTTGGCGCAAATGTCTCTGAGGTCTGAGTAAAGATTGATGGCTTCTTCTTCAGAGCATATTGAAGCAAGGCAGTCATCCACATAAAAACTATATGGAATGGTGTCAATCACCTGCTGGCTGAAATATGCTTTGTTGTCCTTTGCATTTCCGCAGGGCGTAGTTAGCACAGCTTGGAGAGGACGTTGCCCCAAACAAATGAACACCCATCCTGTACTCCTGCATGCTCTGATTGAAGTCACGACCGTGCCACCAAAGAAACCTCAAAAGGTGTCAATGGAAAATTGTACTTAGTAGTCAGTA